GTACTCAAAGATTTTTATTTCCACTCCATCAACATTTTGCTGCGTCTCGCGATTTGTTTTTGTTACTGCTCATCCTGGTGCTTGTGTTTGCTGCAGGTCAAAAGAGACGATTGCGACAGATTGGTTCCTTTTATGTAGATCATAAACCAACCATGTATGATAGCTTTTAGTTATCTTACCTCTTCTTCGGAAAATATATATCTCTAATGCTAATGCAGCTTATTGCAATCTTGTATTGTAATATTTTCAGATCTTATTCTATGGCAAATAATGTGTGAGGTTTCAGATTCTGTAATTTTGTTACTGTTCTAACTGAGCATGGATCCATAGATGTGAAGGGTTGCATGAATATTGGCCGGAATGGATCCATAGATTCTGTAATGTGCTACTTCTTATTTTTTTGCAGATTCTTACTTTTTTTACATAAAACCAGGCTTATTCTTTGTTTGCCACCAAGCAAAAACTGATGGCACAACCTTACAAATAGTTTTACACGAACATGGCCATTGCATGCATCACAGGTTTATAGAAAAAAAATCGATGCTTACATTTCTGAATTGTTTTCACCACCCATTCTTCTTAATTCAACAATTGCTTTCTTTCTTTCTTTTTGGGTGATACTCTTGGCTTTGCTCAGTAATACCTATGAAGCACCGATACGGTGACACCGATACCGCGATACGGATACGACGATACAGGATACGGCAATTTTTAAAAACATCAATACGGCGATACGGCGAGTATATATAAATAATTAATAAAATCGCATGTAATAAAAAAACATAATAGAATGTGTGAGATGAGATCAAACATCTTCATGCTAAATTTCTAAAACCACTAGTTTAGCTACACATAGGGATACAAAATTGCATTGTTGTGCTATACAAATAAGCACTGAGAGTGGGTTTGTTTCTAAACGGGCAGCATAGTATTGATTGGAGTAGATACGATGCAGCTTCCCTAGCAGTAGGCAGTACAGTAGCATCACACATCAGCAAGCAAGCAATACCAAGCAGCAAGCACACATCACTCGGGCCGGCGAATCAGCCAAGCACACAAGTAGTCAGCCAAGCACACAGGAAGCAGCAGCCAAGCACACAGCAAGCAGTTCTTCCGACGACGGCGGAGAAGACTCCAGTAGAGAGTCAGCCGAGGCGGCGGCGTGGCGAGTCAAGGCGCCCGATTAGGCTCATCGGCTTCTTATTGGGGTTGGGGCTGGCGGCGTCCTTCCCGTGTCCCGCCCGTATCCTGCCGTTTCCACAGTGCGTATCGAGTTTATTTTCTTTCTTTTTAAATCTAAAATCGGGATACTCCTGGGATACGCGTATCGGAGCCGTATCCTGCGTATCGGAGTATCGACGACGTGCAGTACGCCGATACACCAGTTCTGGCCGTATCGGTGCTTCGTAGAGTAATACATGTTGATTGTCGTTCGATTTTGTGTGAAGAAACATCATGGAAGATATGTTTATTAGGGCCTTACGAAACTTGAAGGAAAAGGGGATTGCATATTGTGTTGTTGGCTCCTGCAGTGAAGACCACCCCTATCGTTGGCTTGTCTCCCCATGTCGGCACAATGAAGGGCACGAAGCGCGCCTTGGCTGGTTAGGTTGTTGGTAGCTCGGGAACAATAGCGGTTAGCCGTGTTTTGGTTAGATTGTTGGTAGCTCGGGAACAATAGTGGTTAGCCGCGTTCTGCAACTCGATTGTGGACCAGGTTTAGTATAACCATCCGTTTGGAAAATGTGACATGGATTTAGGGTTCGGATTTTAGGAATTGGAAGTTCAAGTTGGGATAATACTATACATAGAAGTTCAGGGTTTGGAACAAACTTAACGCAAACCTTTTTCTCTAAGGTTACACGTGCCTTCCACGTGCACGATTACTAGTTAGATTAATTACCAATTACTCTAATCATTTTGTATTGTTACAACGCTTTGAACCAAACTATTCCCACTTAACCATATCTTTTCAGTCGTACTAAGCATGCCACATTCTTCCATTAGAAATTTTATTGCACGAACAAGGGCACACCACATATATTAAACCTTCATCATTACAAAAGATATGCCATCACCAGACAGACGATTCTGCGTCCACGTCATTACAACCTTGCCCACTAACCTATGCTTCCATCCATCAGGACTACTGCCTACCCCAGCACGCGCATGACCACATCGGTCAACAGCAAAACAAGTATGGCCACACCGACGATCAGGTTCGCCACCAAATTGATAGATGCAACGTCCACCCCGGCGGTCCCCTGGCGCCCAACGAACTGCGTGCCCTCCGCCATGCCGTTGTGCTGCACCTGTGCGCCGTGCGGCAGCTGCATGTCTTGAACTCCCACGCCTTATCCTGCTTCCTGCTGCTGTGGCTGGATTTGCGCCAACGGTGGCGCTGCAGGGCCAAACGAGGCCAGATGGTCGGCGTACGCTTCCTGCCACCGGTACAAATCGCAACCCCCTCGTGACGTCTATATTTCACCTCCGAAGACAACAAAAACGATGAGATAGAGCAGATCCCGGCACTTGTAGAATCGCTCATCGGCGTTCCGCCCCCGCCGAGCTACATATGCGGGCAAGGCACGATTGGCAGCGGCGCCTGGTCACCCCCTTGATTCGCGTCCACCATCTCCTCTCGCGCTACTCTGCCTTCCTCTCTAAATTTGGATCTGCTCCGACGGGGTAGCTGGTGCCGTACTTAAGCGGCGGGCGCGGGCTAATGAGCCGCCGCCGATACGTCATCCCTCCGTCTGTGCCTCCTGTACACCTTACTACTGCGCATAACGTCGCCGCTACCCTCTAACGGCCGTCGCCCCGCTAGATGCAAATGTCATCCCACTCCCACTGCTCCTGACATTAAATTATCCGTAGACCACTGTGCCAAAATACCTCACACGCTTGTTCTCCCAACCCCGATGAACGCCCACCGATTCCGTGAGCAGGTGAGGACGAGAGCTCCTACGGATTTTCGCCAAACCATGTGCATGCCATTGACACCGGACAAGAAAGAAGCAGGGTTTTTCTTCTTCTTCTTCTTTTGGACAGGATGACACCTTCAGATATATCAGGTTTTTCATCATTTGTCCTTGGATCAGACTAGCCCTGCGACAAGCTTACCAAAGCGGTTTCTTTCTTCTACCCTGGCCGAATGTGAGCGAGCGATCCAGCTTCATGCGAATGCCAGGAAGAAGAGGAGCAGGGCGAGGAAGGCAGGCTCTACGGCTCGGGACCTTGTGTGCAAGCCCGCTGCTGCCGTGTCCATGTTGCTCGTGCCTGTTGGACCCAGGCCGCCAAACCCGGTGCCCGTAGCCCCACTGGTGGTGTCCGTCCCCGTGCCGGTTCCTCCCATGCCGCCGGTGCTAGTGCCGGCACCGGGCGTGAAGGTGCCTCCAGTTCCCCCTGTTGTGCCTCCGATCCCAGTCCCAGTCCCGGTCGGAGTCGTTGATGTTCCAGCAGCACTGTGTGATGAAGAAAGAAACTGTGGTCAGCAATCCTGATTCGACGATTATGCTGGTTCTAAAAATGCAGCATATGAAACCCCAATCGGTTGGTATTGGAGTAGTAGTTAATTCAAATGAAGAAGTAACAATGTAGTACCTTGCGCTTGAGGGGTAGGAGCAGCCTGAAGAGCCTGCATGTGAGCAAGACCATGATACAATTATATAAGAAACTCAAGAATCCAAATAGAAATAGCACTTAAGGATCTACTTGACACACAATTAAGTACCGTTGGCTGATTATAATATTCAAATATCTTTGGCTGAAAGTATATACATAAGTAGCACTTAAGTATCCAAAATTTAAAATTATAGGAGTTTTTAAAACTATTTGCAGAACGTTTAGAGAAATAGACACGACAGTTTTACTCATAAGCACTAGTAAAGCTTTGATAAACACACTAGTAACTACTGCCTCTGTACCAAAATACAAGAAGTTTTTGCAAGTATGGAGGGAGTACTTGCCTGACAATTTCCTTTTCTTGCCCCCTGACGTACGGCAGGGCGCAGTTGGGTCACTGACAGGTGGACCAACTTGCTTTCGGGCCCACCTGTCAGTGGCCCAACTGCGCCCTGCAGTACGTCAGAGGAGCCTCGTCCCTCAACTGAAATGTGACACTGACTAGTACAGTAATATAGACCAGAGTGACAGATCTTCTACAGTAAAGACATTGCACAGTCCACGCATGCAGTGGCAGTTGCTCAACGACAGTCAGACAGTGAATTCTTGAACCGGAATGCAGGAGCAAAATCTAAACGGTGGGCAAATATACGCGAGGAGCCAATGAATCCCTTACTTGGGTCGGTGGAGATGATGAGGGCGGTGCCGCCGAAGTCGCAGGTGGCGCCCATGGCCCTCTTCTTCTGGAAGTAGCTGTTGGCCGCCCAGGAGCAGTGCGCGACGACGTTGTTGGGGTTGTAGCACGGCCCCTGCTCGTGGATCGAATTGCAGTCCGCCCCCGCCCCGCACGCGTAGTCGATGGTCTTCTGCAGCGCCGCCTGCGGCTGCTCCGACCTGCACACGCAGAAATCTGCCAAGCAGCACCAGCAGCCAAGATCAGTTATCAGCGGAGCGCGCCAGCCAGAGGTCAAATGGCTGGGAGGAGTACTAGCAATTAAACACAGGCGTTTCCAGGAAAGCTGGTGCGTTTCCGTCAGTTTCTTCTCTTGAAATTATGGCAAAGGAATGTGACAAAAGCAGCACGGAGATAAGAACAGAAAGGATGGGCGAGAAGGCCGTTTTTTCCATTGGCACCTTGCTGACAGCAAAGAAAGAAAGAACGGAATATATGCTCCTGATAAAGGTTGTGAATGCTTTCCATTGGCACCTTGCTGACAGCAAAGAAAGAAAGAACGGAATATATGCTCCTGATAAAGGTTGTGAATGCTTTTATTTACTTTTGGAAAATGGACCTGGGAATATATGGCACATCTAGAAAAAATTCCGTGAAGATGGAAGAAGAACAGGAGCTAGGCATGTGGCTGGCGGTCTACCATCTCCTCCCTAGGCATGGAAGTGGGAGAAGGGAATCTAGCAAAAAGGTGAGAAATCATAGCCAAAGTTGAGCATAAATGCAAAGGCTGGACTCTTGCAAAAAAAAGATGATGAGCAGATCTTTTGATCTTTCAAGCATAATAGCCACTGATGAACATTATAACAAGAATCATCATCAGTGCTACACCATTCTGCTGGAGAAAAAAAAATGAAGAACAGAAGTGCAGTGGCTCTAGACAGGCACCGAAGAAGCTGAAGAGAAGCACCGACGGCTCCAGATGTCAAACTTCCCAAACAAAATAGACAAGGAGTCTTTGCTTATTATAGACTGCTGGCCCGTGAAAAATCCAAGAAAGAGGGGAGAAATGCTAGAGAAAGACCGGAGCTGCGGGCGGCTCACCGGAGACGACGAGGGTCGAGGACAGGAGCAGCAGCGCGGCCACCAGCAGCGGCGCCTCCATGGCGAGCTGGAGAAGGCCGGAGCAGAGGAGAGCGCTGTGGAGAGTTCCGGCGGAAGAAGGGGCTGTGCCTCGAGCAGGAGATGGGAGGAGGGGAGCGGAGAGTGGCAACGGGGGTGCGGGAGTGTGCTTCGGTGTGCGATGCGCCGGGTGCGCGTGGGTTTTTGACCTGCCACGGGAGCGTGCGGAGTTTTATTTAGGTGTTTTGTAGTAGTAATCCTTTTTGTATCAACGGTCGCAGACCTGTGGCCTGTGGGAGACTGAGCCGAACCCACCACCTTTGCTCCCTTTTGCAGTTTTGCCTGCCTGCCTTCGCCTGCCCACCGCGAAATGCGTAGGGCTCGGTAAAAAGAATAGTATGGGTCGGGCTGTTTAGTTTTAGAGAAAGAGTACATACGAGGTTTATTATTGCCTAAAACCTAAAAAGTGCAGCTGTGCTAATTAGTCTTACAAAAGCACACGCTCTCGCGCGCCGTCCGATCGTCATCTTGCAGACGCGCGCATCGATCGGTTCCGACCGCTCGTTCCATCGACGCGTGCGCCAGGTGGCACCTGGTCGTGGCGTCGGGACGAGACCCGTTGGGCGTCCAAGCGGTCGTGGGTCCCTCCAGTTCTTTCTCCCTCCCCACTTCCGTCTCCTCCCCGCTCCATTTCGAAACCGCCCCCGAGCACAGGGAGCGCACCCATTTCCTCCCAAATCCACCAAATCCGGAGCAGCCGGTGGCGGCGCGGCGATTCGGCGGCCGTCTTCCGCAGTAGTGACGAAGGGACAGCGTGCGCGGCGTGGAGGGAGGGGTTAAGCGGCCAGGTGCGCGTCGGTGCGGCGACCGGGGCCACACCACTACAACCGCAACACACAGAAGCCGGTGGCGGTGCGGTGATTCGGCGGCCGTCTTCCGCCGGCCTATGTGGAAGGAATAGCGTGCACGGCGTGGAGGGAAGGGTTAAGCGGCCGGGTGCGCGTCGGTGCGGCGACCGAGGCCATACCACCACAACCGCAGCTCACGGCAATCGGGGGCGGAAGGCGCTGCAGTACTGGAGACGGGGCCGAGGAGGAACGGCGCGCGCGCCTTCGCCGTGCTGTTCGCGTGGAGGAGCAGAATCGCCGTGCTGTTGTGGCGCGGAGGGTAGAATCGCCGTGAGCAAACCTCCAAGGTCAGTCCACCGATCCAATTCTGTAGGCTTGTCAGATTCGCCGAGATTTGGGCGAAATCGATGAGTATTTGGTGCTTTGATGCATAGGTTAACTGATTAGGAACAGATTAAGCACTTGTTTAGATTAGTTTTTGGGATTGGGTACTGGTGAGATAGATTTTGGTGATCCTTCAGTAGGTGTCGCAGTGTGTGGAGTGAGGAGGAAGGAGATGTTCTCGTGCATTTGGTTGTAGGTTTGCTAACTTGCCAAACAACTGCTCACATAGTTGCCTAGTCCCTTTTGTTTGCATGCAACAGATGTACCTATTTTGTGTTTGAACAAGGCAAGGTTTGATGTTGTATGCTCCTTTTTGTTGAAATGTGTTTGTATGAGGTTATGTGCTGGGTTTACGGCGCTCACGTTTTGTTTACAGATATGCCCATATGTATTTTTTGCTTTAAGTTTTATGATTCAGTTGTCAGGCTTGCTCAAGTTTTGTGAGGCAGTTGCTTTAGATGCCTTCATCTGTTGCCTAGTTAATTTGTGCAATGACGGCTTGCTCAAGTTTTATGAGTCAGTTGCCTGACATGCTACTATATGTTTGCCTAGTAAATTTGTGCAATGACTGGTTTTGCTCAAGTTTTTTGAGTCAGTTGCCTGACATGCCATCATCTGTTACCCAATGCATTTGTGCAATGTCAGGTTTGCTCAATTTATTTTCCGAGTCTGTTGCCTGACATGCCATCATCTATTGCCTAGTGCATTTGTGCAATGTCTAGCCTGCTCAAGTTTATTGTGAGTCAGTTGCGTGAACACGTGCCTCATCTGGTTTTTTTGCCTAGTGCATTTGTGCAATGTCAGGCTTGCTCAAGCTTCGTGAGTCAGTAGCCTGACATGCCATCACCTGTTGCCTTTTAGTCACGATATGTTTTTTTTCAGGTACATGATGTGTAACATATTTGTCTTGCTCCTGGTAGTCATGTTTTACTTAAGTTTGTATTAGTGTTGTAAAAATGGTGAAAATCAGATAGTTTACAACCTTTTTCATTGTCTACTTTTTTGTAATTTGCTTTTTGCTTAGTTTAGTAGGAATTTAGTCAAATGAACTTTGTTGGATGATATGCAGTTTTTGCAGAACCATTTTTTTATCTTGATGCTTATTGTTTGTCCTTTATATACGCAATAGAAAATAGATGGCTGGGACAAGTCATAAGTCAAAACAGGATGGGCCTACTGGATCAAGTCCTGTTGAACTTGCATCTCATGGCAATGAAGAGCAGCAAACACAGGTGTGCACATCGTCAGGAGTTTTATGTTCTCTTTGTACATAACAGATTTTTTTTTCTTTTCTTTTATTGATTTTTGTGTTTTCCATGTTCCAGCCACAGAGCGGTGCACCAATAATTGGGTACAAACGTCAGAGGCGTAAAGCAGTTGTTGTATGGGGGAAGCGTCCTGATGACATTATTAGTAACGAGAATAGTAACGAGAGCCAAGTTGTAGATGCTGGGAATGCAAATGTTGAAGGTGCAGACGTCAACCAACCTCCAAAACGAAATCGCCAGAAGACGGGAGGAATTGAGGTATTTGCATAGTTGCCTCAGTTTACTAAACATTTGCTCGACAATGCTGCCTAAGTTGTGTATCCGGTGATGAACATTATTTGCTAATTCCCTTTTTTTGTTTTTTTTCTGTGCAATAGGGTCGTAGGAACAGGGCATCCCCTGCAAGGCTCTTCAAGTTGAACAAGGATTTGTTTAATGTTCAAAAGGGTGTCATCATTGGAAAAGAATTTGGTGGCATTCTAGACCTTGCAGCGAGTAGCATGCCCGGAGATCTTAGCCAATGGATAATGAAGCATTGCGACCCTGAGATTTCGCAGATAGTCATTCCAGAAAGGGGGAAGATTCCTGTAGATGCCACAAGTGTCCGTAGGATATGGGGTTTGCCAAATAGGGGCAGGAAGGTGTGTTTTGAGAATCAGCCTAAAATCACAAAGGCAATGTACAGTATTTACAATATCACCTCCAAGAACTCCCCATCTCTCACAGCATGGTGCAAGATGATCGTAGATATGGGAGGATCTTCTGATGATGACTTTGTACGCACTTGGCTAGCTCTTGTTTTTTCGTGCTTCCTTGCCCCTTCAACTAGTTTAAGTATTTCCCCAAAAAGCTTCCCTGGGGTCATGAATGTCAAGGGAATAACGGAAACCAATATATGCCAGTTTGTTGTTGATCAATTGAAGCTTGCATTCACTTCAAGGCGTGGCAACAAGAAGGCTGTTTGTTGCTGTGTTTTCCACCTCATTGTAAGTCCTTCAAGCTGTTTTTCTTTTTTAAGCATCCATTTGTTTTCCTTTTTTCCTATTTTTGCAAATCATTAGCTAACTTAAAATTTGTGTTCTTTTTCTTTTTTTTATGATGCAGTTGTTGTATCTAGACTCTTTGGATGTTGATGAGCCAATCCCGAACTTGGTACCAAGGGTTTCAGTTTGGAATTCAGTTTAATTTCCAAAGTTATCAAGAAGGACAGGAAGGCTCCGGGAGAGTACGGCAATTTGCGGGTAATTTCATTTTTCCATCCTAGGAGACATTTTAGGCAACGGTACCATGACAGAGTAGGCAATTCATTTTGAAAGACCAAGCAAGCTAATATAGTTTTATGGGCAACTGCTTTACATATATTTCAAGTATTTTTCAGTCTTATTTGAACTTTTTTGTTGTCATGCACACACTTGGATAAGCCTTATTAGTTTTCAGTCTTATTTGAACTTTTTTGTTGTCATGGACACACTTGGATAAGCCTTGGATAATGTTACAGGAAGGATTTTGTTGGTACTAATGGTAGCTGTTGTAGTACATTTTGAAATGAATAGTACACAAACATTGTTGAACATTGTTAGCTCTTTTTTCTTTGTGTGTGCAATTTACATGTTGAACACTAGCAAGTTTCTGCAATAACACAAGCAACTTATGTACTGAAAACTAGCAAGTTGCATACCACTCCTACTTTTTTGGTGCATAATAAATCTTAAGTATCCACTAACAGTAGGCAACATGAAAGTGGGATAGTGGATGCAGGCAATTTCAGACAATTAGTAGTAGCATTTTTCTTCATTTCCCCACTTCTTTTCGTATGCAAGTGCCACAATTATTGTCACTCATTTTTTTATCTTCTTTGATTATTAACCACTAGCTCAAGACGGAGTTTTCCTGGTGTGCGGATGATAGCTTGTTTGGCAGTATGGACCACATCACCAAATTTGTTGCCACAAGATTGCCCAAGTCGTATGACAAACCAGTAAGTTATCCAGGAGCTACTTTTCCCTCTTACTGTTGTTTCCTTTTTCATTCCCATTTGTACTTATCATGTTCTATACAATCCACTTTTATGTTTTGCAGAAGAAAAAGAAGCTCACAGGGTTGGTGCATGAAATGTGTTCCGTAATTTCACATGCAGTGGGAAGCTTGTGACTGGAATTGGGAGGATAGATGATGATGAATGGGAGGCAAGAGAGGCAGATCCTATTGCTGCAGAGACAAGCAGGCAGCAGTCTAAGAGAAGGCATGATCGAGTACCAGCCAGCAGAGACAGCTTACCAAGTGAGGAGGAGGAGTTTAATTTTGACAGCGATGACAGTGAGGGAGTTGATAGTGAAAGTGAGGGAGATGACAGGGATAGAGGTAATGATGAAAGCAATAGCAATGGCAGTTCGGACAGCAATGATGGTGATGATTTTGTAAACAAGGAGGAACAAAGTGGCGTTCAGGGAAAACCAAGTAGCCAAGGAGTACGACATGCGGTGGATCACCATGAGGAGGCAAGTGTTGACATGGGGAGGGAAGATGGAACTAATGGAAACAAA